ATTAATATTTTAATATTATTTTATTTCAAAATTCTTCACTTGACTTCTCGAGTTCCAAAATGTCTTATTTGTACCAATTCACTTCCGAATTGCCTTTTTATCTTGCTAATTCATCCTTGGTAAAATATTAATATTTAATTATCATGTCTTCACGTATAAAATATTTTATTCTAAAATATTCTTTTCGCCTATCATTGCTCTTTTGCACATAAATTTACGTCCATCAACCCTCTGTCTCGTCGATGAGATCATATTGGCTCTTGTACAAGGGTACGAGGTGCTACAAGAATAAAATAAATAGCTTAAATCTTTCAAACATACGTAAAAGAGAGATAAATAATTCAGACTACATATTGAGTTTAATCATAATCTTAGATTCAAACTTAGTTTCCCATCAAGTCACACATCATCATCAAATAAAGTTTAAACAATAAAAGCAAGCTAAGAAAATAAAAGAATAATTAAAAGGATAAAACTCAAGAATTATAATCTTGATCTTCCAAGTTTTCTAGAATCCTTCAAATTCTTCTCAGCTTCAATGACTTTGTAGCTTGACTCTCGACTTTCAATCTAGTGTTTTTTGCTCTCTTTTCTTTCATTAAAATTCTTCTTTCATCAAACACTTACAAAAGTACAAATAAATCAATAACAACTTAACTTAACTACATTAACACCAAATTAAGCATAAAATTAACTAAGTTTAGACTGACTCACGTAAAATAACTAATTTAAAATAATTAAATAAAACTTACTAATTTTTATATATTATTACAAGAACTAAGCTAAATTATTATCAAAATTAAGTTCAAATAACTCTATATCATAACGTTATCAATATGTTAAAAGGGAACACTCAATCATCAATGAATACTAATTATCAAAATTTAAGAACAAGATATTCAATCAAAACACATTATGCATTCAATGCTCACTTAAGCTGTATGTTATATTTCATTTGACATTCCAAATTATTTATAGTAATCTATAATCTAGAGTGGACTGACACCAAATTTTTATATCATGTGAACATTTAAGGCTCAATGAAGGATAGTCAACATTCAAATGCATATTCAAAGGATATTTCAACAATGTCAACACAAACTATATGTCATGATCAAAGTTGACTTGACTTATGCAATTAAGTACCATAAGCAATTCTATTACTTATGTCAAGTTTTAGATTTCAATCATTACGGTCAAGTAAGATTAAATGTCATGTAAGCATGTGATTTAACCAAAATAATAGATGAACCAAAAATATTTTTCACTTAAGTGTTGGTCTTTTATTGTCTTTGAAATGACTCAAGGGCAACTTTTTATAGCTAAAGTGAAGTTTGGAGTCGTTAGACATAAGTTTGCATTAAATCCTAAAGCTTGAGGGTCAACTATGTTCTTTAAATTTCTTAAATTAGGGTTTCATAGTCGAGTATAACCTTCCTCTACTTGATCTAATTCCCGAGAGTATTTTTTTGTGAATTTGGGTTGAGGTACTCAACCACAATGAAACTAGGGTCGACTATGTCTTTCATTTTCCCTTTTTTTCACACATCAAGGTTGACTATAGAAGGGCCAAGGTCAACCATGTTTGTAACGACCTTTTACTCAATCATTACCGGTGTTTGAGACTTACGAGTGAACCTGCCCAATCTCGAACAAGCCTTATTTGAAACTTTAGACATTATGCCATCAATCCATGAAATTGCTTGAACCATATACCTTCTTGTAATAAGAGTTATACATAAACCATAATAAACCAACTTATCCTTTATTCACCATAATTGTAAGATTACATTAGAGTCTGTAGTATTTAACTGTGAATTTATATTGACACTATTTACAAATACTTCAAGCTATGGATAACTCGACCTTTATTAGCAGAGCGACTCGAAATAAAGTACTATGAGATGCCTTTACCTACCCACAGTGGACCATAAGCATCGATGATTGCACACTAGGTCGATCACTATCTGCAAAACGAAAAATGAGGGGGTGAGTCTCACAGACTTAGTGATCATTGGCTCCTTGAGTAAGGCGTAGATGGGAAACAAGCTAAGAGTAGAAGTTTTGAATATTAAAAATATAAGAATGTATGTAAACAATTTAGCTCAAAAAGGTAATTTGTGCCTTATTTGTAAAACCAAAAAGTTAATGCAAGATAATCATCTAAATCAAATATCAAACCAATTCATGTAAAGATCTCTGCCGTCAAAATCATTTAACAACTTTGCTAAAATCAAATCAGTGTAATCATGCTTGCTCCCACAAAATCAAACATTGTCAAAGCTTTTACACAAGCTCATAAATCATCTTATCATCGAGGTATTAAACATAACGTCATTTATTCATAATCAATAT